TCGCTCACATCCACTACATGCCTGACCACTGGCAGGGTAATGCCCACCGCTCGCAGACCCGGGACGAGTTTGCCCAGCTCTTCCAGTACAAGGCAGTGAGTGGAGTTGGAGTTAGGGCCTGCTAGAAACTGGCTGATTGCTCGGTGGTGAGGGCAGGGATCCCTCCTGCTCTCATGACCTTGGTTTCCTCCCTTTTAGGTGTTCATCTTGGAGGAGTTACTGAGCCCCATTGTCACACCCCTCATTCTCATCTTCTGCCTGCGTCCACGGGCCCTGGAGATTATAGACTTCTTCCGTAATTTCACCGTGGAGGTCGTTGGCGTTGGAGATACCTGCTCCTTTGCCCAGATGGATGTTCGCCAGCATGGGCATCCCCAGGTACTGGGTGAGGAGGGGGGCAGGTGGCCAGACGTGGTGTTGGCAAACTGCTAAAAGGCACCCCTTCTGAGCCAACACATCCCAAAAAGGCAGCCCTGTACCAGGGCACACACTGCTTGATAAACAGGAGCCTGGGCTGGATTTTAGCCCTAAACTTGTACCCTTGGCCAAGAAGCTCCCTTGCAAAAGGTACAAGCCAAGCAGTTACCCCAGCATGTGGCCACTCCTGGGGTAGGCACCAGGGCCCTGGACAAAATACAGCAGTGCATTGCGGTCTCTGTCCTCCAGGGGCAAAGCCTGTCCCCTAGCAGGAAACGTACCAAAAGGATTCCTATAAGGCAACTGTCCTCACTGTAGCCTCCCTTGTACAGTGGCTCTCTGCTGGTCAGACCGAGGCCTCCGTGTACCAACAAGCCGAGGATGGGAAGACAGAGTTGTCACTCATGCACTTTGCCATCACCAACCCTGGCTGGCAGCCACCACGTGAGAGCACAGCCTTCCTGGGTTTCCTCAAGGAACAGGTTCAGCGGGACGGAGCAGCTGCGGGCCTTGCCCAAGGGGGTCTTCTCCCTGAAAATGCCCTCTTTACATCCATCCAGTCTTTACAGTCTGAGTCTGAGGTGTGTTCCTGGGGACTGGGAGCTGATGGGCAGAGCTGATGGGCAGAGTTGATGGGCAGGAAATGGAGTATAGGGTAGGCATGGGTGCAAGGGCCTACCCTATAGTTTTCCTTCTGTCTGTTCAGTCTGCGCCATTGGGTCCTGATGTATACCGGGGGCCCCAGAGGTCTCCCTCCTGCCCTGAGAATTCTACTCACCCCTTTCTTTTGTAGCCACTGAGCCTTATTGCAAATGTGGTAGCCGGCTCATCCTGTCGGGGCCCCTCATTGCCCAGAGACCTGCAAGGCTCCAGGCACAGAGCTGAAGTTGCCTCCGCCCTGCGCTCCTTCTCCCCTCTGCAACCTGGTCAGGTTCCCACGGGCCGGGCTCCTAGCACCATGACAGGCTCTGGGTAAGTAGAGTTGGGTCAGGATGGGAGGGCATGGCAGTTGCACCTAACAACTTGTGTGGGTCTCAGAAATGTTGATGACTGCTGTATGTCTGTGCTGGGAGGGACAGGGTGGATGCCAGGACAGCCAGCTCCGGGAGCAGTGTGTGGGAAGGACAGCTGCAGAGCCTGGTGCTGTCAGAATATGCATCCACCGAGATGAGCCTGCACGCCCTCTATATGCACCAGGTGAGTGGACAACAAGGGGTAGGGCCCTAGAGCCAAGGTGGCAGGTGAAAGATAGAACAGAGCAGTGGTCCCCAACCTTTTTGGCACCAGGGATCAGTTTCATGGAAAACAATTTTTCCCCAGATGGGGGGTGGCGGTCGGGGGGTGGTGGTAGACAGGAGGCAGAGCTCAGGTGGTAATGCAGGTGAAGCTTCTCTCACTCACCTGCCTACCGCTCACCTGTGGCTGTGAGGCCCTGTTCCTAACAGACCACAGACCAGGGCCCGTCTATGGCCCGGGGGCTGAGGATCCCTGGAATAGAGGACAAAGCTGGGTCCTTGCCATGCTGGAAAGAAAAAGAATAGAACAAAGGGTTTTAGACATGGAGACGCAAGTCATAGGTTCAAGTCCCTGCTCTGCCATTTACCTGCTCTGCAATCTCTGTTCTAACATATACCTTCTTACTATCCTTCTAGCCAAGCTTATTCTCATCCAGGGCCTTTAGACGCTGTGGTTTCCCCTGCCAAGAATCCCCTTCCCTGAGATATTCATATGACTCCCTCTTCCTTATTCAGGTCTCTGCTCTTACCTTTTCCATGAGACCATCTCTGGCCACCCTGAGTAAAAGCCTCCATTGTCTGCCCTTCTGAATCTCCCTGCTGTATTGTTCTCCATAGTATTTAGCACCATCTGACATATTGAATTTTTTCCTTATTTGTTTACTGTCTTTTCCTCTCCCTCTCTCCCTCCCTCCCTCCCTCCCAAGTGTATAGGCCCCACAAGGGCTGGGATTTTTGTCTGTTTTTCCCTGCTCTATACCCAGCCCCTAAAAGAGTGCCTGGCACTTAGATCCACAGTTTGTTCTTCAATCAAATGACTATGTAAAATGAGTGCTATTAAAACCTGTGCAATGACTTGTTCCAGGGGTCTGCTATGAATTTAACCTGTAAAACATCATTTGTATGTTACACACTACTAACACAATAGGTACTCTGGGTCAGTGATTCTAGGTGAGGTGGTCTAAGTAGGAAGTGGCTGATACCATGGTGAGAAGCAGCTGTTTCAGATGGATACCCTTCTGTTCCCAATTAATGAGCTCCTCCACTTCTCAGCTCCACAAGCAGCAGGCTCAGGCTGAACCAGAGCGGCATGTGTGGCACCGCCGGGAAAGTGATGAGAGTGGGGAGAGTGCTCCTGAAGAGGGGGCAGAGGGGGCCCGGGCTCCCCAGCCTATCCCCCGCTCTGCCAGCTATCCCTGCACTGCACCCCGGCCTGGAGCACCTGAGACCACTGCCCTGCAAGGGGGCTTCCAGAAGCGCTACGGGGGCATCACAGGTATTCGGTGGGCATACAGGAGGACATAACCATCAGGGAAGGGTGGCTCTTTTGGGGCCTCTCGGGAAAGAGGTCAGAGGAACCAGGCCAAGGAGAATAACTCCTCCCTGCCCTCACCCAGGGCAGCCCCAGAACCCTTCTCCTCATTCCTGTTTGTATTAATTCATTCTAAGAATATGTTTATTTGTGTCTCTAGATCCTGGCACAGTGCCCAGGGCTCCCTCTCACCTCTCCCGGCTGCCCCTTGGAGGGTGGGCCGAAGATGGACAGTCAGTATCAAGGCACCCAGAGCCCGTGCCAGAGGAGGGCTCAGAGGATGAGCTTCCCCCGCAGGTGCACAAGGTAAGGGCCCCAGGACCCGATAACAAATGCCAGAAGTAGTAACTTTCATACTCCTGCAAAGGTAGGCCCCTCAAGCACAGATACTGCACCCTCCCCTCCAAAGTGGAGATACTCCCCTTTCTTTCCTATCTTAGATCCAGGGCTTGATTTTTCCTTCGCTTACTTCCCCAGGAACCAAGCTTTCCTTTTCCAATATCTCCATGCTTCTGTTGGGTAAACAGCTGAAGACTATCTCTACTACCAACCCTTTTCTTTCCACAGGTATAGACAAGGCTGAGGAGGGTCCCTGTGCCCCAGGATGGAGGCCTCTGTTGCCCTGCCATCCCATCGGCCCGCCATGGAGGGCTTCTCTGAGTGTTGCCTGGCTCCACGCGTGTGGTGTTTGTGTGTCCGTGCCTGGCCAAGGGAGGTGCCAATACTGGGCTCGCCACAGCCCTAGGAGAGAAATTGGGGGCCTAGGAACCGGGGCACACAGGACTCCAGCTCATCTCCAGGAACCCCCATGGCTCAGAGTGTGGTGCTAGAAACTGGTCCCCAGCCCCAGTACTGCCACCTTTGCACCCACCCCTGCAGATCTCCAGAGGACTGCCCACCACAGAAGCTGCCAAGCAGGGAGAACCTGTGCCAACTGTGGAATGGGGAGGTTGGGCCTGGACCCTCAACCTCTGTGGCCTCCCTGTCCTGGCCCTGAACAGATGAGCAGCTCAGGCTGTGGCCCTTACCTCACCCCCAGTTCTCTCCCAGTGCTGCAGCCTGCTCACCCCTCTCCTTCCTGCACATCACTGGCATGTGTGCTGCTTGCTCTGGTTCTGTTCGCTTGCTCCCCTTCTGTTCAGCCTCTGATTTGCATTGGTGTAGAGGTCCTAGCTCTCAGCTCCTCTCATGCAATTTTTTGACACTAGGAGGGAAGTTTTCTGAATTGCAAGAGCAGGATGGAAATGTTTTGCTGCCCTATCCAATTTTTCGGATGGGGCCCTGGGAGACTGAGGCCTTCCTGTCCCCCATTACTGCATATTGTACCCCCCTCCGTCCGCCCCTCCCCCCCTGCACAAGGGACAGGGTTGGAGTGTGCCCTGGTCTGTCTACCTCCCAGCGAGAAAGCTGTGGCCTGCCTCCTGCTGTCCCCTAGAGGGGGACAAAGGGGCGACAGGATGGCCTCGCCCTAGGCTTTGGGCTGCCGCATTGCATGCTGGGACTCAGCTCTTACTCCGCCCCACCCCTCTCTGAGCTCTGGTCCGGGTGAATTGCCCTTCCTGAACTCACAGCCCTACGCGGTGGGGACCGTGTACAGCTTGATAAACCCTTAATAAAGAAGGGACTTTGACCAGGTTGCGGCCTTGTTGTTTCGCGTGGCTCTGGTTCTGGGAATGAGAGGTGCGTGCGATCCCTCCAGATGGCCGGGGTCCGGGGTGGGCCCTATAGGAAAGTGGGCCTGTGGAGTGGCTCGGACGCACTGAGCTAGCTGGCTTTAGCGGAAGAGCCGTTTTGGATCCGGATCTGCAACTCCTTGGAGGTCAAGGTCTCCAGCCTGACTGGGGACTAGAGTTCCCACTCTGAGCACGTGACCAAGTTGACTCTGCCGCTCTATTTTGCCTTCCCCATTTGTACCACTTACCCCCGCCCCTTCGGTGACATTTGGCCAATGGGCACCCTGGGTAGGGACTGGAGGCGGGCACAGTGGGCCGGGCTGCACAGCGGCTGAGTCAGAAATAATTCCTGTCGCTGGGAAATAATTAGCGGGAGAGGGTCCTGAGCCGGGAGCAAGGCGCAGGAGGGAGGAGACGGCATACGTGCCCTGCGTGAGTGCGTAGTGGCGCGTGCGCGAAGAGAGTGGGCGGTGTGGTTGGGTCCACGTGCAATCCTGACAGCGACCCCCGCGGCTCCATGACCCGAGACTCCCCATCCCGGCCGTCCGTGACCCTCCCCGAGAGGCCGGTTTCGTTCTCTCGTCCCGCAGTCCCTGCAGCCTCGGCCTGCGGCCACACACTGCCATGGTGACTGTGGGCAACTACTGCGAGGCTGAAGGGCCCGCGGGTCCGGCTTGGGTGAAGGGTGGCTTGAGTCCCTGCTTCTTCTTCACGCTCACACCCTCAGTGCTGACGGCCCTGGCGGCTCTGGCCTTGGTGCTGGCTCTTCCCTGCAAGCGTCGGGAGCGGCCAGGTGTTGCCGAAGCGCTGTCTTGGGGGGCCGGCCCTCGTGTCGCTCCCTATGTGCTGCAGCTGCTTCTGGCCACACTTCAGGTGGCATTGCCTCTAGCCGGTCTGGTTGGTCGAGTGGGCACTGCCCAGGGAGCCCCGCTGCCAGGTTACCTACTGCTGGCTTCCGTACTGGGGACTCTGGCCAGCGCCTGTGGCTTGGGGCTGCTCATCGTCGAACGGAGCCAGGCACGGCAGAAGCTAGCAATGGGCGCCTGGATCAAATTCAGTCACAGCGCGGGTCTCCTGCTCCTCTGGACTGTGGCGTTTGCCACCGAGAACTTGGCCCTGGTGTCTTGGAACAACCGGCAATGGTGGTGGGCAAGGGCAGACCTGGGACAGCAGGTGAGGGACCTGATGGGGGACGGGAAGCATGCGTGGCAAGGGCTGGGGAGAAGGATGTCAGGTCTGATCGTACTGGCTCCATGCTTTGGGCTGACTGTAAGAAACGGAAGAGGGGAGGGGCTGGCACTGGCTGGGAGCTGATAGCCGGCTGGTGGGGTGTGTCTGTGCTGAGTCACTGTGGATTGTTTCTGGAGCCTATTAGATGCTGGGCCCCTGAGAAGGACCTGGATGCATGCCCTAAAGCTGTATTATCAGTAGTAACAATGGTATTTGGCCCTGTTTGATACTCTCCCCGCATATGTTTCATTCTAGGTTCAGTTTAGCCTGTGGGTGCTGCGATATGTGGTGTCTGGAGGGCTTTTTGTACTAGGGTTCTGGGCCCCTGGACTTCGTCCACAGTCATACACCTTTCGGGTCAATGAAGAGGACCAAGATGTCGAGAGGAGCCAGGTATACCTTAGTATCTGAATCTTAGGATCTGTCTTAATCTCTGTCATCATTTTTCCCCACCGTAATAAACTATTTCCCAAAGTTCACATTGTACCCTGTTAGCCTTTCTGACCCCATGAAGGGTTCTTTGTGGGTCTAAGATGCCTGAGAGCTATAATCCCATACATTTTCCTCAGAAGGTTTCTGACTAGTGCACTTCTTTTTGATTTCTGAGCTTCCCTCTTCTATGTGTTTCACCATCCTAGGTTCAGTCAACAGAGGGACCACCACTGTCTACCTGGCGAGACCTCGGCAGGAAGCTCCGCCTGCTGAGTGGTTACCTGTGGCCCCGGGGGAGTCCAGCCCTGCAACTTGTTGTGCTCATCTGCCTGGGGCTCATGGGGTTGGACCGGGGACTGAACGTGTTGGTCCCCATCTTCTCTAGGGACATAGGTGAGGGGGAAAAAGAGTGTTAGCTCAGTGCTCTGGTCCTTCATTGGCCTGGTGGGTGGGGGGACCCTAACATAGGGCCACAGAGTTGGGAACTCGGTGCTCAGAAAGAAGCTATGGCTGGTGCCTGGGGCAGTCTCTTCTGAAGAGAGCCCTAGGGGCCATAAGTGGGCTTTGACTCATTTTCTCCATAGTGAACTTGCTGACTGAGAAGGCACCTTGGAACTCCCTGGCCTGGACTGTTACCACCTACGTCTTTCTCAAGTTCCTCCAGGGGGGTGGCACTGGCAGTACAGGTATGAAGGATTCTCACTCTGGTTGGTACGGCCCCTTCCCCTCTTCCTGATATTCCTCTCCCACAGTTATCTCTACCCTGGGCCCTTTGGTGCTTTCCAGCCTTTCACATCTGGGCTCTGGGCTGATGTCATTTGGCCCCTCAGCCCTCCTGAAGCCTCCCCCCGCTCCCCCCAGGCTTCGTGAGCAACCTTCGCACGTTCCTGTGGATCAACGTGCAGCAGTTCACATCACGGAGGGTGGAGCTGCGCCTCTTCTCCCACCTGCATGAGCTCTCACTGCGCTGGCACCTGGGGCGCCGTACCGGGGAAGTGCTGCGGATCGTGGACCGGGGCACATCCAGTGTCACTGGACTGCTCAGGTGTCAGGCCTGTGGAAAGGGAGGGATGGGGGTGGGACTGGAAGAGCTGGGATGGAGGGGCTGTCGGAACAGACCCAGCCTGCGGAGCAGCCCCTCTGCCCTCTTTCGTTTTCTAATAAGATTAACGTACAGCCTACGGCCACACCACCCTGAGCCAGCCCCATCTCGCCCGATCACAGAAGATTAATGTACATATGCTCTCCTAATAACTTAAATTGAGAGCACATCTCTTGAATTCCACTCTCTTCTCCAGAGGTTCCCACTCCATTTGGTATGAGTTCTGCCTCTTTGCATTTTTACATATATGTGTGCAGACTCCCAGAACTAAAGTGGTACTGTGTGAGTTTTTCACAAAACAAACAATATCATGATATAGGCATCATTCTCAGATGCTTTATTAATAAAACATTATGGAGATGTATTCTCATCTGAGCATGAAGATCTTTTTTTGTTATGATTGACCCAGAGCATTCTGTAGTTTGGGCATGCTGTATTTCATGTAGCCATCCACCTCTTGAGGGGCATTTGGCTTGATTCCAGTCTGTTGCTATTGAAAACAAAACACTGCACTGAAACTCTGGCTATTTATTTTTTTTAGAGAGGGGAAGGGAGGGAGAAAGAGAGGGAGAGAAACACCATTGTATGGTTGCCTCTCAAGTGCCCTCCACTGGGGACCTGGCTGCAACCCAGGCATATGCCCTGACTGGGAATTGAACAAGCAACCTTTGGCCTTTGGTTTGTAGTCTGGTGCTCAGTCCACTGAGCCACACCAGCCAGAGCCCCTTAAACCTTTCTTTGTCACTTGACTCCCCTCCCAGCTACCTGGTATTCAACATTATCCCCACGCTGGCTGACATCATCATTGGCATCATCTACTTCAGCATGTTCTTCAACGCCTGGTTTGGCCTCATTGTGTTCCTGTGCATGAGTCTTTACCTCAGTGAGTAGTGATTGGTGAAACCCGCTCCCTGAACTCTGAACTCTTTCAAGGACTCCCTTAGGCATGAGCCCTGACCCCATTTGGGTGACCCAGTTTGGAAGGCTGTAGATTAGTGGACTTGAATAGTCCCCTGCTGCTCCCCAACTTTGAGGGTGAACATGCTCCTCTGCCAATGGAACCTTAGCTCAACCTGCGTGGAGGACTAGAGCATTCTGCTCACATTAGATGCCCATTGTGGATACAGGTCAAGGAAAAACCTCACTATGTAACAGATGTAGCTTGCCTTAATTTGTTCGCCAAAAGCATTTTCTTTTTTTTTTTTTTAAGAAGAATCTATTTTTTAAAGGATTTATTTATTTTCAGAAAGAGGGGAAGTTGGAGAGAAAAAGAGGGAAAGAAACATCAACATGTGGTTGCCTCTCATGTGCCTCCAACTGGCGATCCGGCCCACAACCCAGGCATGTGCCCTGACAGGGAATAGAACTGGCAACCCTTCAGTTTGCAGGCCGGCACCCAATCCACTGAGCCATGCCAGCCAGGGCCAAAAGCATTTTCATACATGAGGCTTTCTACAGGCTGCAAAGATATCTTGGACATAGCCCCTTCCCTCAGAGAGCTTAGGGTGTTCTTCCTAAAGAATCTGGGTCTCTGGGCTGTAGTGCAGGATTAGTGTGTAGAAGACAGCAGACATACACAGGTGGTCTTTGCTGTTGGGAGTGATGTCTTGATCTCTTCTCCTTTCATCTCCTCCTCCCTCTCTAGTCCTGACCATTGTGGTCACTGAGTGGAGAACAAAGTTTCGACGTGCTATGAACACACAGGAGAATGCTACCCGGGCACGAGCTGTGGACTCTTTGCTAAACTTTGAGACGGTAACGGAGGCCTCAGTGGCAGTGGTGTGAGGCACAGAGATGGGGAGAAGTGGGTCTGGGATCACTGGGGCTGCTGGGGAGCTGAAAGGGTGCGAGGTGTGCTGCTTAAAATTAGGAAGGAGGGATTGGGGATCTGGAGGCAGCGATCCAGGTGCTGAATGCTACAGCCCTGTCAACCAATGGTGCTTTGAATTCATCAGGTGAAGTATTACAATGCGGAGGGTTATGAAGTGGATCGCTATCGAGAGGCCATCTTAAAATATCAGGTGAGGATGCTAGTTTGAGGCCTACTGAGAGCAATGATCTGGCATTATGGAATTGCCAGAGCCCACAGGAGTAAAATCTGGGCTGTGAGGTTGAAGGACTCTGGGCCCAGTTTTGGATTTGATGATGGTCAGCACATGTGTGACAATCCTCTGTCCTGTGTAATTTCCACAGGGTTTGGAGTGGAAGTCAAGCGCTTCACTGGTTTTGCTAAATCAGACTCAGAACCTGGTGATTGGAGTTGGGCTGCTCAGTGGCTCATTACTTTGCGCATACTTTGTCAGTGAGCAGAAGCTGCAGGTGAGGGAATTGTGCTGGGGACAAGGAAGAGGGGCCTGGGGCCTGTGTCTGGGCCACCAGGCTCCTGGGTGGGAAGCGGAGAGATCACAGGAGGAAGTAGGGAGGGTGACACTGAAGGCCTCTCATGACTTGGCCCTCTTCCCTGGATCTCCACAGGTTGGGGACTTTGTGCTCTTTGGCACCTACATCATCCAGCTATACATGCCCCTCAACTGGTTTGGCACCTACTACAGGTAACCTCATCCCCGGCCCTCACCTACCCAGGCACATTGTTATTTCCCCAGCTCTTTGGAGGAGCTCCAACCAGCCTTCTTCTTATAGGATGATCCAGACCAACTTCATTGACATGGAGAACATGTTTGACCTGCTGAAGGAAGAGACAGAGGTGAGTGAAGAGAGAGGAGTTGGGTTTTGGGGAGTGGGAGCCTGCATGGTGTTTCTTGTATCTGGAGAATACCAGACCTGTAATTGCGACACACAGTGGTGGCACTCTCCCAGGTGAAGGACCTTCCTGGAGCCGGGCCCCTTCACTTTCAGAGGGGCCAGATTGAGTTTGAGAACGTGCATTTCAGCTACGCCGATGGGTGAGCCCCTCACCTCTTGCCATCCCAAGGCCCCTTCCCACTGTCCACTTACACACTGCCTCCCTGCCCCTCATCCCTGCTTCTTGGGAAGAGAGCCCAAGCAGGGGAGGGGCAGGGTCCAGTAGTAGCTCTGTTGCTGGAAGAGGGCACTGGGAGTGCCCAGGCCTGCTGACCGTGCCCGCTGTTCCTTGCAGACGGGAGACCCTGCAGGATGTGTCTTTCAGTGTGATGCCTGGACAGACCCTGGCGCTGGTAAGAGGAGACCCAGTCACTTGGCACAGCCTCCTCCGCCTTCCCTTATTCCAGTGCCCATAGTAGCTTGTGACCCAGGCTGGGAGTCAGAGACCCCTGTCGTGATGGATCACAGGAGTGAATGTGGCAGCCTCCGTGGACATTGGTGGCCTCTTAGAGAGAAAGCATTAAAAGCCCATGGGCCCAGGAATGGTTTTCCTCTTGTTTCCAATGCAATAGGTGGGCCCATCTGGAGCAGGGAAGAGCACAATTTTGCGCCTGCTGTTTCGCTTCTATGATATCACCTCTGGCTGCATCCGGATAGATGGTCAGGATATTTCACAGGTGAGGTTGTTTGGGAGAAAACTGTCATTTAGGGGCCTGTGTGTAGGAAAATGGTTAAGTGCTGAGCATCCAGGAAGAGGAGATGTCACCTCTACAAAAAGCTTGGGCAGGAGACCTCAGTCCTTCTGCCACCACCTGACCTACACAAGTAAAAGAGTCAAGAGAGTGATTTGTATGGTGCTGTACAGGGTACAAAGATCTGCAGCAGTCTAGGGAAGTGGGGAGAGAAAGTGAATTTTCTTTTTATCTTTGGGGAAACGGAGAGGTTGAGTGATTTGCCCACACAGCTGGGATTTGGGGGGTTGGTGGCGGGAAAGGCCAGGGCCTTTCGTCACATTTGCTTTGCGCAGCCCATCCTGCCTCCCAGGCCTGCAGGGAATCTCACAGGCCAGGGTTATGTGGTCTCTTGGCCCCAGGTGACCCAGATCTCCCTCCGGTCTCACATCGGAGTTGTGCCGCAGGACACCGTCCTCTTCAATGACACCATTGCCAACAATATTCGCTATGGCCGCATCACAGCTGGGAACGATGAGGTGGAGGCTGCCGCCAAGGCTGCAGGCATCCATGATGCCATTATGGGTTTCCCTGAAGGTGAGCTTCCCTGGCCCAGTTTAACCCTGTTACTCCCTCTGACCTCTGTTCCGTCCCTTCCTTGCCTCATTCGGTCACAGAAAACAAGTTTATCTTGTGTGACTTGGGAGGTGGGCAATATCCACAGGGTACGAGACGCAGGTGGGCGAGCGGGGACTGAAGCTGAGTGGTGGGGAGAAGCAGCGAGTCGCCATCGCCCGCACCATCCTCAAGGCTCCCGACATCATTCTGCTGGATGAGGTGAGGGCCCTGGGCAGCCTTCACTTCTCCCTCCCGCCTGCCTGTGCACCAGCCATTCCTGCCGGGCAGTGTTTTCCATCTGGGAGACCACAAATCCATGTTTCACAAAACACCTTACAGTTCTCAAGCGCACACAAGGTTCTTTTTGATTCCCAAGGCCTCAACCAGTAGCTTGCATGCTCCTTCCCGTGGGGACTTGGGTGGCAGGAGCAGTTATACCCAGACCCTCTCTGCAGGCCACATCAGCGCTGGATACATCTAATGAGAGGGCCATCCAGGCTTCTCTGGCCAAAGTCTGCACCAACCGCACCACCATCGTAGTGGCACACAGGTATGGGACCGGGGCAACAGGCAGCAGGGCCCCCACCTTTGGTGGTGTGGTGGGTAACTGGTCTCTGGCTTCTCAGGCTCTCAACTGTGGTCAATGCTGACCAGATCCTCGTCATCAAGGATGGCTGCATCGTGGAGAGAGGACGGTAGGGAACGTGGCAGAATGGACAGGGCTGGGCCTCCGCATTGTGGGCCCAGGATACGGTTGTGAAGTTCCAGGACTTTCTGGAGGAGCTCTTGCCAAACCTCCGTTATCTCTGTGGGCTGGTGGCAAGGACTGTTGTAGTGAAACTAATTTACACTTTTCTCCTTGCCCCAGGCACGAGGCCCTGTTGTCCAGAGGTGGGGTGTATGCTGATATGTGGCAGCTGCAGCACGGGGGACAGGATGAAGGCTCTGAAGACATCACATCTGTTTAAGGCATGGTGACCAAAGTCGGGCCACTTCCCTCCCAAAGGGTAACTCAGAAGGGGATAAGATGTGTCCCTCTTCCCTGGCATATTTCACCCTGTTCTTGGGGTGTGGTGCTAGCTACAGTGAGGGAAAGGGACCTTTCAATAAAGCACTTTCTGGGGAAATAAAATTGTGGACTGTGCTAGGATCACTGTGACTTCATGGTGTGGCATATAGCAGTGGGCTTTTCACTTAGATCAGGTGAGCGTTCTTGACAGGACTCTACTGATTTTGGTTCGCAAAAAGAAACACACTACTTGGATATCTTTTTAACTACCAATATCCTTTATTCTTTTTTCCCAGGCCCCTGCCTGTCCTACCAGTGGGAACAACCCCGGTGTAGGAAGGATGACATGATGCAGGGGGTTGAGCGGGGCCTGGCCGGCATCCTCCGAGGGCCCCACCAGGGAACGGTTCATAGTTGCTCTCTGCCATGCAGCTGGAGAGGCCAGCAAGGCCTTGTGTTGGCTCAGTTCCACAAGCTGATTTCCTTAATGCTCCCTGGAGACAGCCTCTATGTCACTTCTCGTCTTCACTCCAGGCTGCTCCTGGCCTCCTCTCCCTGTGGACCCTAAAGGTGTGAGGGCCCAGTCCTCCTCAGGGGAGCCTCCCTCCCCAAGCCCAAGGCCCTAGCACAGGCTGCAGTTAGACGGCTTCAAGCTGCGGCTTTGGGCCTGGAGCGAGGAGAGGGGAAGACAGGGCGCAATGTCAAGGAAATGAGGGGACAGTTTTCACTTCTGAGCTTAGCTTGGGCTGTAGTCATACAGAAAACAAAAGGATAACCACCATTCCAAAACTTTTGACCACTTGGAAGAACCACTCCCCCCACCCCAACTCCTTACACCCTCCCAGTGCAGGATCCCACCTCTACCCCATCCTCATACCTGCTGCTGTTGGTACTCTGCCTCACTGGCTGACAGTGCTTGTGCTAAAGCTAAGTCTTCTTCCTCCTGAGAACTGGAAGAGAGGAGCAGTGTAAGTTGGATGACAACAATATCTAAAATGTAAACATCTGATCTGTTAGGCATGACTGTGCTGAGCACTTCCGAGTGTTATCTCAATCTCTGTACAACACTACAAGGTAGGTATTAGTGTGGTCCCATTTTATAGAGGAAATTAAGACCCTAATGGGTTAAAGAACTTGTCAAAGCTCATATAGTTAGTACGCTTAATTTTGGGCCCAAGTTTCTAACTATTACCTTGCAACAGGTTGGAGGGGTCCCACCTACCCTCTACCAAACAGAGCCCTTGCCCATATCCCACTCTTTCTCCAGAGTAGGTACCTTGGGACCTGGGGTTTGGTCTCTGCCAGGGACAATTCCAGGGCTCGCTGCAGAGCCTCATCCTCACTCTGCAAGAGGAGAAACAAGACCAACCGCTGTGGATGCTAGTCTGTGTGGGTTTGCTTCTGTCCTTCCAACCTCTGCCCAACTCACCAAGCCATTCTGCAAAGCAATCACTGGAGGGGCAGTCTGTGACGGAGACTGGGCTGTGGCTCTAAGGCAGACATTCAAGAGACAGAAGTCAGAGATGGGAAGGGTGAAAAGGGAGAGAAGAAACAGGCAGGCCTACCTGCTAGGAGAAGTAGATGAAGGCAAGGTCTGACTTGGCCTGGGGATGTTGCTTGTGGAAGAAGCCAGGCTCTGTGCTCTGGAAATGGCAGCAAGTCTGTAGGAAAGAGTCTTGACTGTCTCCAGGAGCAGTCAGCTTGCATACTCCTCCCAGGCCTTACCCAGAAAATCAGGAGGGGAGTTCCTCCAAGCAGTCGGGAAAAATATGCACTTGAAAAGAAGCCAAGACTGCCCTAGTCAAAGTGGACAGGGTTTAAGCTTCCCAGCTTGTAGTGATAAAGGCTGAATCAGTTCCAGAGAAATGGGGTAGTCCCAAAGGCAAGTAGAAGACTAGGCTGCAATTACCCTGCCCGGCTGGTTGGGTGCCCCTTCCCAGAGCAATCATGGTCCAGTGGGTGGCGATGCTTGATGCAGAAGTTTCGGCTACAGCGTTCACACGTTAGTTTCATCATCTCCCGCTGCCGGCAGCCAGAGCGTTCACACTTGTTGGTGAAGATCTGAGGTGGAGCAGGAAGGTTTGTCTCTGCTGAGACTCTGACCCCTTCTTCCAGCCCAATCAGAATAACTGTTCTAGTTTCCAGGCATCCATAGACCCAGCCGGGTCATGGCCATCCCTTCCAACACTTACCTTACGTTTCTGCTGTGCTGGATCCGAGCGACAGTCTCGGTCAATGTGCTCCCCCACAGCGCGGTCAGGGGGCTCCCCTCTGGCCACAGGCACAGGCACATTACAAAGTGGGCATACAGGTACTTGGATATCCTATAGTTAAGGAACAGGGCTCAGTCTGTGACCCACTTCCACTTCAAGCCAAACCCTAGGTCCTGAAAAGGACCTCCCAAAGACAATAAAGGAGAGGGAACAGAAGGCAAAGGGATGGCGAGGATTCTGCTCGCATCCTCCACCCGCCCCCCATCACCCTCAGACCATCCCGTCCACCTTTTGGTAAGCAGATCCACAGTGATGCTGAGCATAGGCTACATGGTCTGCGCAGAAGATGCCCGAGCAGGCGTCGCACTTGAGCGGCAGAAAATCTGCAGGGAGTACATCGGATTGCAGGTCCAGCGGGACCCTGACGTCGTTCCCGGTCAGTTAAGCCTTCCACTCAGGGGAAGGAAAACACCCATTTTATTTGCAACAAACCACTCGGGTCCTACTCCACTAACCTTAGCCACGCCCCTTCGACACCGCCCCAACTTCGAGCCCCGCCCCTCTCCGGCATTTCCAGCCCCCCGGAGTCGAGCCTTCGCCCCACCAGCAGCTCCAAGTCCCACTCCACCCAGCCGCACTCCATCTCGCGTTCCGCCCCTCACCCAAGCGCTGACAGCTCGGCTCAGAACAGTGAGCCCCGAGGTCCGGAAACTCCATTGCCGGGCCAGGCAGGGCCTGTTGGGAGAAGAACGATGCTGACTATCTCTAGGGCTCCCGCTCCGAGTTCGTACCACGACCCGCCACTCTGGGGGGCCCCCTGCCCCTCGCCCCTCCCCTTCCTCTCCCCGCCCAGCCGGGACTACCGGAGCCTCAGCGCCTCCCGGCCCGAGTGTCCCACTCCTCCCCCAGCGCGCACGGCGCACTGACGTCACCGCGTAGGGCGGGCACGTCTCGCGCCGTCGCCGGGCGGCTGGGGGAGCGTCCCAGCAGAGTCGACTCCTGCTGATGCTCCGCAAGGCTGGGAACTGAGTATAACCTGTGGCGAGCTTAGCTCCAGGAGGGGCGAAAGGCCCGACAAAGGCAAGGACAGTAGAAATGTTGGGGAAGGAGGGCTGACATGGTTTGGGGTCTTTCAGACGTCGTTCCTTCACCGCCTTCTCACTGTATCTAGCCACTTTTTTTTTTTTTTTAAGATTTTATTTACTTTTAGGGAGAGGGGAAGAGAGGGAGAGAAATATCAGCGTGCGAGAGATGCACTGAACATCCATCGGTTGCCTCTCCCACGACCCCAGCCCGGGACCCTGCCCGCAACCCAGGCCTGTGCCCTGACGGGGAATTGATCTGCAGGCCAGCGCCCAATCCACTGAGCCATAGTAGCCGGGGTGGTACCTAGCCATTACCTTCACGGCCACGGTTGCACTTAGTCTCCAGAGCTGCAGAACCTTTCCCCAAGTTTAGCTTTGATTCCCTTTCTGTAAGACTTCCCTGACCATTCCCAGTCTGAGATAAGTACACGAGCTATGTGATCTCCCTAGTTCTATTCTACCCGTATTATCTTATTGTACTCAGCTCTTTAAACGCACAAGCATACTACGAAGTTGTGAACCACGTCTGCCTTCTGTGTTAGGTCCCTAGCACCCAGCACAGTGCCTAGAACTGTGTGACTTAAGTTTGAATGCGAGTTACCTGCAGAGCTGGTTTTAAATGCAGATTCCTGGACCCTGAAACTTCTGATTTAGTAGGAAGCACCAAAGAGAATTCTGACACATTATCATCTACTACACTTTGAAAAACACGAGCCTTGAAATTCTGAGTGCTTATTAAATATTCCTGGGATGAAGCATGAGAATCACTGGATTGATGATGTCCTGCTTTTCCTCAGGGAGCGCCAGGTTGTGACCTTTCAGCTTCAGCATGCTTTGCTTCTCACATGCCTCTTGCCTCTCATGCCTGGGGATGGTCACATTCTATTTTCCCATAAGTTTGACTATGGGAACAAGTAAACAGGTGGAATAAAGTTTAGCAATGTCCTCCCAGATGGAGGGATAACCCAGGCCACAATTGGAAATGAAGGGACACTCTCTCCTCATTATTCCCCTCTCTGACCCACTCCAACTTTTGGCTCTGTTTCCCTGTATATTTGCTTTGTCCATCCTCACAGCTCTAATGCCAGTAGAAATTAAAAACATTTTTCCTGGTTCCTCAAGCAGAAGGCCTAATCTCCGCCCTGACTGTGACCTGTTGCCTTGACTTGGATCACCTGCCGAGCCCTGACCTGTGGGCTTATGGCCAGGGTATGTGGGCCTGGCCTGAGTCTCATGTTTGGAGGAAAGGAGTCACCTCCACCCAAAATGAAAATCAACCAGCTGACTTAGATAGTCCTTCCAAAAAATCTTAGAGAATCCATTCAACTCATTTCTTCTTTCAAGAATATATCCAGGGTCCTCCCACATGCCTGTTGCTGGATGATACATTCAAAGAAAAAGACAGGGTAATGTGGCAGTACATCTCAGGTACCCCATTCTGGTATTGACAAGTGTTATTCAAGCCAGAGCCTGAGGGGTAAGACGATGTTGGCTGGGTGAAGTCCTAGGGAGAAAGAAATGGGGTGGAAGGAGAGGATATTCCAGGCAGAGGAAACAGGAGGGAAAACAGCTGGAGATAAGAGAGAATGAACAAGATTCTTAAACAAGCTTTAAAAAAGCTTGGGGCCTCTGAATCTTCGGGTATGCGAGGAAGGCTGGAAGAGAAGTGAAGATGGAGAGCTAGCAGAGGCCAAATCACCTCGGGGAGTGGAGGCCACATCAGTCCTGAGAATTTTAACATAAATAGAATGAGAAACTATAGGTAACCTTAAGCAGGGAGTGACATGGTCAGATTTGTACTTTGAGAAAGTCACTCTGGCTTCAGGTGGAGAAAAGATTGGACAAAGTAT